TGATGTTGGTGGGAATTGAGACATTTAAACAACATTTAAATTATAATAAACATGTCTAACAATTAAATAATTATATTCTTTATATAGATATAAAAAATAAAATTGAACTTCAGAAAATAATATAAATAAAAATATAATATTTTATAATATAAGTATATATATATATATTTTCTTTTGTGAAAGTATATATGGTACCTCGATTCGTCTAATGTCAGATTCACAAACAACAAGAATGCGTTTGAAGAAATAGTGAAATACCATATTTTCATTCAAATTGTTTAAAACCCTAATGAAACCATGTGTGGCCATTTAAAAAAATAAAAAATAAAAATGCCCATGTATACTATTTTACGTGATACTTCTATCTGTGTCATACTTAATGCAAACTATGTTGTCCTAAACTCCTAGTGGTTGGACCAATCTAACACAAGAAAAATTAGGTAAATTTCAAGAGTGAACAATTAAGAGACATATTACGATTAAGTGAAAACGTATTTAAATAAACTAGTGTGTGGCCCGTGCAATGCACGAGAAACAATATTACGATCGTATTATAAATTAAATATATAAATAACATTAATCATGATTTATGTATTGTTTTTACATTAAACCAGGTTGGACACAGTTCGACCGGATGAACGGAGAACCGATTTATAACCAGTCTAGTTCGCTTGAATAAGATATTTGCTCTTGAATCCGTCAACACCAGTCGGTTGGATTTGTAGGATCGATACGATTTTTTAAATAAATTTTGTTATATTTAAAATAATTTTAAATAAAATTGCACATTTAAATAAAGTAGAGATTTATAAATTATTTATCAATTAGTTTAAACATTTAAATTTATAAATTTTTTAAATATATAAGTAACACATTTTATTTAAATTTATTACAAAAAGTACTATATATATAAGCATTATATATATATATATATATTAAAATGTTTATAAATTAAAATTTGAACAAACCAAAAATGATTTAATAAAATAGCTTGATCGTTTCGATGACGGTCCAGTTCTGAGAACCTTATATTTAATGTACATTAATAAATATTATAATAAAATATTATTTAATTCACATAAATATTAATAAAATGATATATAAATATTCATAAATCATTAAACATGTTGTCATAAGAGTATTGTTAATACGATTATTTGAAATTTGGACTACATCACATTCACGTAAGAAAATATTTTCAATATAAAATTTATATTTAGGTTCAATAATTGATTTGGTGTGATCGAACTGATTCATAACTTAATCACATGGGACCAACCAAGTTGTGTCAAGTTTTTTTTACTATTTTAAATATCACCTAAAAATAATTCAATCAACCTGGACAGTACCCTAATTCAATCACCTGATTGATCCGAAGAAATTTTCTTATTTTCTTTAAATATATTTAATTTTATGAAATAAAACTATTTTATGATTCATATAATAAATGTCTACACCAAATGATAGTATATTAAGATTATAAATTATATATCTTAAGATGAAATCATTTTTACTTTATGCATATTAATAAAAATAAACATAATAATTTTCAAAAAATTAAGATTAATTAATTAATTATACAATTTAAAGAATATTTTTAGCGTTCAATTTTTTTAAAGACACAAATATAAAGACCGAGATTCTAAAATTTTTGTTATATTTTGAATTGAGATTTTATAAATATAGATACCGAGATTTTAATTTTGTTCGTTGTTTCTAAGAAAAAAATAAAAATAAAAATAAAAACATACACACTTAATAAATCTTAGCCGAATTTTTTAAATAATAAAATGAACTATAGCCCGAAATTTAAGGTAACATTTAATGTTGTATGATTTTTAAGGAAAAAATAAGAAAAATAATAAAACTTACTATTTATAGGCTGCATTAAATTCTGACCTATTTTTTTATTACTATTTTTGGTAAATGTTAATTCTTATTATATATATATATAGATTACAAATAGACTTAAGAAAGTTATTCTGATGTTATCTCTTGACTTCACGGACAAAATGGTCCAAATATATGATTATGTATATGTATATATAAATGAATTTTGACGGGGAAAATGATAATGTTCTTGATAATTTTAGATTAACACAAGTCAAAACCTAATGTAACCGTCGCTTTGGAAAGAATAGTACATAAAAAAAACAAACCCAAAGCTCTCATTCATTTAGGCTTGCTTAGATTAGATTACTAGCCAAACTACTATAGCTTTTTTCTGGGTATATATTAAAAGAACAAAGGATCTCAATGTTGGTATATGTGTTCTAGAGATAATCTTTTTAAGGACATATATACATGATCGCATTAATAATTATATTAGATTATAATTATGGTATTGCAATTAATTAAATAATTATTTGATTGTTTGCAATTTATTAATTAATTGCTCCCTTGAGTTGATACTGTCATTAACAGAGTGAGATGTTAATTGATAAAGTATAACTCTTAAATCGCCTAAATTGATGATCATTAAGAAATGGATATTAATGATACGCGATAGATTGACATGTGGTCTGCATCATATTCTTCGAGAATATAGTATGTCTCACTACTATGAATAATTGTTATTCGTGATGGACACATGGATACTTTAGAGAGTATTGGCATACCGTACCGATAAACTATTTGTTTATGTGTCTATGGGAGTATCGGTGTGTGGAATGGT